CTTGACTGCCTCGTTGGCCGAGTAGTCGGAAGTGCGACTGCTGGGTAAGGGGTCTCGAATTCGATTCCCAGGTCGGGCAAAGTATTACAGGGTTTTAAAAAAATTCTCAGTAGTATCACGGAGTCTGGAATTGTGCCCGGTATATGGCAATAGGCTCATCCCCTATAAATAAATAAATAAATACATTGTAGGTACTCAAGACATAAATAGTGAAAAGTGGGTGTCACATTGTACTGTGGTTTAAGTCCCGTATTGTGAACCTCTGCCTACCCCTTCGGGGATAAAAGGCGTGATGTTATGTTATGATTTAGATCCTATATGATATAAAAAATCCTAGTACCGAGCAACGTTGTTTTAAAATAGTATTGTAAGAGTTTTATATCGTATCGTCATATCGTGACGAATGAAATAAAATAATAATCAGGCAGGTATCTTTAGATTAATGACTGACGTCTACTGCATGTAAAAGTGACGTGTAAATGAGGTTCCACGGTGTCGACAATGCGTGCAAGGCTTGCGAATATCTAGGTGGAGATATCTTTGAGTCGTGTCATGATCTTTGCACTGACAGACCTACATTATACACAGACTAAGTTAACGTTTACTTTTATAGTAGGCACCACGTGTGATGTGTCGAACTACAGTTTTAAGCACCTTTGGATGTTTAAAACGCAATGGATACAATGTTGTTTCTTTCTACATAAATTGAATATTTCCATATATTGTAACTTTCGTGAGACATACTAAATTAGGTAATTGTTATTGTTATATTTTTCGGCTTACTCACGTAATTATTTGACAAGGAACTCGACTAGTTTCAATTCATGCTAGAGGCATGCTACTGCTGTAGCAGTGCGACAGTCCCCGCGTCACGGGTCGCGGTATGTTGCTCATGAATATGAGCCTCTGCCAAGCCATGCCGGCTTGAGACTAGTCGAGTTCCTCGTCAAATAATTACGTGACTAAGCCGAAAAACATAATAGTAAATTGAATATTGTATGGTTGTAATGTGTGTGAGCAAATATCTTCTAAACAAATGGGATCTGGTGATCAAATTAGATCATTATCTTTTCTGTCGTATTTGTAAGGCTTGTATTGTTTTGGTGGAAGAAAAATTTGAACCATCTTTTGAGAGAGTAGAGGAATAAGAACTAAAAAGAATACATTCAAGTATGTATAAACATAAGAAATAGACAAATATTACCACTATGCATTGTGCAGAAGTCCAGCTATACCTACCACAAACATTTTGAAAGTAGGTTCTAAACAACTTTGCACCAAAACCTCAATGTGTCAAATAGTAAAATATATTTTTAGAAATCAAAATAGACGTCTCACTTTCATCTTTGTTTGTATAAGGCGATACTAAGACATTACTAGCGCCTTGTACGACACATGTCCCGCTTTCATTACGGACAAAGTACTTAGCAAGTAAACACAACGTGCTTATCACGTCATCGTGCATAAAATGCAGGAAAATTAACACGAAATCAGATTCCTTTTCACCGGCGCCGGCCCAATATGCTTAACTAACTGTAAAATATTTCTTTGCGATCGTCGTCGCTGGTTTTAAGACAGTTAGCCATATACTCATTGGCATGACACACAATAGTATCGGGCCCACAGTGTGCTGCCTTCATTCGCCCGAGCGCCAACATTCCGTTAACAGTCTCTTCACTTTTCAACGCAACTCGGTCAAAGACAATTCTATAATGCAAAAAAGTTTGTAACGCTTCTATTAATCGGACTATTAAAAGTGAACGCATCGTAATTTGACAGTGAATTTGGCGGGAAATCTAAAATAAAATGGCGCGTACATTTTTCGTGATTTTTGCTCTTATTTTGGTGTTGTCTCCTTGTGAAATGTCGAGGCGGAAGATTAAAGACTATCCTACGGATAAGCAGCTGACTTTGCAGAGGAAGGAGACTACGCCAGTGGATTTCACGAGATTAGTGGTGATGAGATTGGTGTATGGTTTCGCGAAAGTTCTTGGCTTCGAAGAGCCAATTGGTGAAGTGATGAATGGTGCATTCGTGCCTCCAGGAGCTGACGATGATGACTTTGATGACGATGACGGTGACTTCTTTGATGACTATTAATTTCAAGTGCAGTGCGCGCATCTTTTCGATACCAAATAACTCGCATTTACTCATTTAATGTCTTTGTAAATTATTTATTAACTTATTCAACTGATAATTTATTGAAACTTAATTTATTTTAGCGTAAGTTTATGTGTAAGTGACAGAACAGTAGAATATGTAGAAATTCCTGTATTATTAATAGACTGTTAAAATTGTATACAACCAAATTATTTTCTTTGTTATGTTGATCAGAAGAAGAAAGCAATAATATTTTTGACCTTACACGTCAGAAATAATATTATTTTCTGCAGAAACGTTTAAAACTACAAGCAGTGCTTGTTTGCCCACGGTTGGCTCACAATTTAATAATCCGTTCTACTTATCTAGAAAAATACGTAAATACGTTCAGCATAACTCGATGTCTCAATTTTTATTTTTACCCTTATTTTAATCATTATTTATTTATTTATATATTGATTTACTTATTTATTACACATACCTACCTAGATGCGGAAGTATAGAACTATTTCCGATTGCCGTCCTAAGTACAGGGGTACGCAATAGGTACTGTTATAAAATTGAATCAGGTCTTTTGTTAAAATTGCTACAGATTAAATAATCAGGTAGTCTTGTCGTGTTCTTCTCCTTTTACGTTATATTCTGATTTACCTATTTCGTTGCGGGAACCAAGACTGTTATTTATGTCCCTGGGACGTGCCGGCTTCAGTGTTCCGGTATTTTCATGGTAGTATCTACTGTAGATCCCGGTTTACAGGAGTTGCAGCGGTTTTGGGAGGTTGTGGCCGGCTGGTCCCATAAAAAAGGCTACATGTGTACCTACACTGTAAACGTAGATAACCTAATTATGTACCTAGGTATTGTCTTTCTATTCATTTATTTTAAAACTAGAGGCTTATTATTTATTAGTCTTTTTAGGTATTTTAATTTGTATTATTTGTTTTTCATAAATTCTTTTTTTGAATTTCCCAGGCAGATAGACTGTTATAGGTAGTCTAAAATTGTACCTATTCTGTATATTATTGTACCTATTTGTGTTTATTTGTATTATTTATTTCCACGTAGTTTTATATTTTTTAACAATGTACCTGGTTAGTCGCTAGCTGTCCTATTTATTTCTGCTTAATAATTCCTACATAATAATTCGTAGAATTAATAAAATTGTAAATACGTAATTATATTATTTATTCTCAGAAGGTCGTGGTTTTTTTATTTATTAACCGACTTATAAAAAAGGTAGTTCTCAGTGTGACCTGTACGTATGTATGCGATTGGTTGAAGCGACTTTGATGCAGTTTTCAGAAAAATGTTACAATTAGGGGAAGGCTTTATAGTAAACTAGCTTTTACCAGCGGCTTCGCTCGCGTCACAAAAGGATAAAAAGGGGCCTATGTGACATATACCAATACACACAGCGCCATCTATACCAATACTTTTGTTTTCCCTCGGGAATATCAAATTTTTCCGGGATAAAAAGTATAGGTATTCTATTAACCGGACTTCTAACTTTACGTCTGCAAAAATTCAAAGCAATCGGTTTAGTAGTTACCGCGTGAAATTGGAACAAACAAACAAACTCACTTTCCGATTTATAATATTAGTAAGGATAAGGACTAGTAAGGATGTACTTCCATTAATTAACCGCTTCAAAAAAGAGGGTTGAAGTCGGTTTTTTCTAAATGTAGTTAATATAGATAGGTAAGTATTTCTGTGGTTTATCTTATCTCGTCTTAACTACCATTAGGTATTTGAGATATTAAAGTGTAGTGATTTAATTTGATAATTTACTTAGTTGATCAGGTACGATTGGCACTGTAGGTACGTGACCGTGTACCGGTGATTTGAGAATTTGTGATTGATTCCAGTGCGGTACCTAGGTACAACTCCTTATGATTCAGTATACTTAACTTGTTATTCCGGGTCTGGGTGCAATATGTACGCGAGGTGTATGTGTTTCTAAATGCACCAACATTATCGACAGGATAAAAAATAAAATGTCGGGACCAATGTTCTAAAAAAAGTCAAAGTAGATACTATATAGATGCAAATATCTACGCCATGCAGACAACTGCAGTCGACACGGAAACCGGTTCCGAAGTGAAGCAATTGCGGAAGGTAACATGTATCGTGAGTTTACGAATACTAATTTATTATTGACTGCACATATTTGGCGCACTGGCCACGCAAACCGGGTTCAATTTTGCACGAATAAAAACATCCCTAATCGGTGAGCAAATGAGAGAGGTTCTGAGGCGGAATAAACGTAAAGAGCGCCCTAGGTAAACACCTCATATTGACTGATTCACTTCGTTGCGGGAACCAAGACAGTTACTCATGTCCCGCGCCGGACTTCAATGTTCCGGTGTTTTAATGGTTGTATCTACTGTAGATCCTGCCTTACAGGAGTTGCAGCGGTTTTGGGAGATTGTGGCGGGCTTGTCCCTTTAAAAAAAAACACCTCATATGCAGCCTTAATTGTTTTGGCGCCGCTGCCAATCTATGTGCAGTTGGGCATGCATGTCTCGCGGCACCCCTCTGTTACATGGTGCCCTCGGAAGGCCTAGTTTGCCTAAGGGATAATACGGCTCTCGAGAGGTCATATCGTCGCATCAGTCCCATGGAACATGAATTTCCATACTCTAAAAATAGATTCTCTCATCTGGGTCTCAAGCTCTATAGTCGCTTGCAACCACTCCACCAAATATCTACCTAACAGAAGTTTTGTAAGAGAAAGGATATTAAACTGTCAAACACAAACACCAAGCCACCAAGCGGTCACCGGTGACCGCAACCTACTGTTCTATAATTGTGTCTATAATGACAGTACTCGACGAGTTAAGTCACATTATCCAAATAAAAAGACATGTCTCCATAAATAAATAATACTGTATTCAACAATCAACATTATCATAAATCATAATTACAATCTTGCATCCACGATGGATCTTCAGCAAAAGCTATATCTTGTACCTCTTCATCGCTGTATTCTTCAACATCAGTGGTATAAGCGCACCCTTTCATTTTCCTGATCAAATCACCCCATTTTACCTTTAAATCACAGAAGGGACAAGTACCTTCTACTGGCACATACTCTCCTGGTACCAAAAATAGTTCTGCTAAGCAAGTTATATGACACAGAAGTTCACAGTTGGGATTCAAACAGGTGATCTTTGTCTGACCATTGGTGATGTAAGCGGAGCATAGAAGACATTCTTCATCGGGTGGTATGGGGTTTATATCTTTGGTTTTTAAGTTTCTACTTTTTACAGGTCCTTCGCAGATTGACATGTGTTGCGGTGGTATTCTTTCGGGCTGGAAACAGAAAGATTTTTTAATGAATGTTGTAATGAAGCACGTAAATAAAAACTGTGTTGTTCTAGGAGAAATTGTTACTGAATCCTAATTAATTATTACTATTTGTCAGGGGGTTACTTGTTCATAATTTTATTTTATCCGTTTGAATTGGGTGCCACTGGTAAGTCACTCATAACAGTCAGTGCTAGCCTATAGTCTCAAAAGACCCACAGAAATTACTCAGTATGTTTTTTTTTAAGGGGGAAAATCATCCAATTACTTCTCTCACCTGGGTAAAGCGAGAGGGAGTGCAAGACTCTTAGTGGTACTCTTAGGTTAGGTTAGAACAGGTGCACATTATGACACTGCCATCGTACAATGTGACACCCACTTTTCACTATTTATGTTATGAGTCCCATGTAATAGAGGGTGAGCCTATTGCCATATACCAAGCACAAATCCAGACTCCGTGCTACTATTGAAAGTTAAAAAAAACAGTTATACTAAAAATCTATGTTATCTTACAGGAAATTCCTCCCGATACTCAGGTTCCAACCATCTGATGATCAGAGGCAGTCTACACCATGGGCCCACTCGTAACATCTCACTCAAAATTCTTAATTTGAATTTAAATTCAGACTCTTTTCTTGGGATCTTCTTTAAGTTTAGATGTTGCAGTCTTATTGTCTTTGTTGGGTTTTGCCAGGCCCATTCAAACTGCAAAAAAAGGTTTATTTTTTACTGAAATCAAAAGGCATAAAATAGACTAGAAATAATTAAGTAGGTATGAACTTACTTACCCTTAGAGCAGAAATATTATTTGGAAATCCATGCACTATGACCACCATCTTCCTGAAATATTTTTTATCGGCATAAATACTGGCGTAATAATTTCAAACAAACACAGATCAAAATTGCTAGTCCTAAGAATATAAACAATATTGCCTCATAAGGTTTTTTCTACAAAACTAGAACTTGTTGTTCTCAGAGAATTCTAATAGCAAACTTATAAGCAAAAACTGAAACGATTGGATTTATTATGGTTAGTAAAATAGGTACCTAAACAGAAATGATGCAGTCAATAATTGGCGGGAACATCTGGATTAAATTAAACTGTTTGTTTGGCTTTCAAGTTCATTGCAGTACATACCAGGGTCCCTTATTATTAGTTCGATGTGCTCCTCCAGCCCATATGCCTTTATTATGCTGCATTATTCTCCTATTTGGGTCCCGAGTATAACCAACATATGTTCGGCCTTTATATTTAGGATTCGTACAATATAACAAGTAGACTCCGAAGAAATCCTCCACTAATTCTGGTTCCGTCATGTTAAAGTTGTATACCTACTTGTATTTGATTTTTAATTTAATAACTTTCTATTTTACAAATATTTGAAAACGCTTGTATTTGGAAAATCTCCTCTTGTTTGTTTGTTTTTGCAACTTCAAAACTTTTTGACAGTTGCGTTTTGTGATCGAAACGATTTATTAAATTAATAAACGTAACAAATACTGTTAGAAATATTTAATAAATTATATTATGAAACATAATGATAAAATGCTGATACAGATATAATAAATAATAATTATGACGTTTCAAACAAGAAATATTAAATTATTATAACGCTCTAAAAATAACTACACGTAAGTACTGTCATTTTACAATTCACTCACTTGACAGTTAACGAGTTGATTGACAGATAACCTCATAGCAATTAGCATTTTTATAAACTAAACAGTTTTGGGTGCCGTGTTTTCTGTGAAAACAATTGTATTTAGTTAATTTTTAACGCTTTCCCCCATCTATATAGAATCAACATAATCAATTAATTACTTTGTGCCATGGCTGATGTTAAAACCTCGAAGATAAGCCAGAATATTTGCGGACTGTGAGTACCGATATTGAACCCTTTACATTGTTTTAATTTGTAAAAACTAATACATTTGTATAAGTTGTATCATCTAACAATACACGCCGAACACTACTTAAACATCAATTCTTATCATACAAAATCTTTAATAACCTTTCAGATGTGATGAAAACCCCAGCAAATATTGTTGTCCACGATGTGAAGTATTTTACTGTTCCCTGGACTGTTATAAGTCTGAGAAGCATTTACAATGTTCAGAGAGCTTCTACAGAGATTGTGTGAACTCTGAATTGATGGCACACAATGCTGATGATGAATCTAGAGACAAGATGGTGGATATTCTTAAACGGATGCAGGATGATGACAATATTGATATAAATGACCTGATAGAGTATGATGATGATGATGAACCAGCAGACTCTGATGATGAAGAAGAAGATGACTTAGAAAAACGAATAGAGAACATAAACATAGATGATGCAGACGAAATATGGAATGTGTTGACAGAGGACGAAAAAAACGAGTTTGAAGCTTTAATAAATAAAGGAGATGTTGGATCTATAATGCCTCAATGGCAACCGTGGTGGATGTATCGAAGAGATAAGAAATTAGTTGAAGATGTTGATGTCCATGTTGATGATGGAGAAGCGCTTAAAAATTGTCCAGAGTTAAAATCTGTTCCAAAATTTGAAACATTGACGGTATGATAACTATATTTTCATCTGCTACTTGCTATCTTCTTCATATGCTGTCTCTTAGAATTTATTCCTTGTTATTTTCCTTCATGTCAAAGTGTGTAAAACAAACAATAGTACATACATACATACATAACATCACGCCTTTTATCCCCGAAGGGGTAGGCAGAGGTGCACATTATACCAATGTACAATGTAACACCCACTTTTCACTATTTATGTTATGAGTCCCATGTAATAGGGGGTGAGCCTATTGCCATATACCGGGCACAATTCCAGACTCCGTGCTACTACTGAGAATTTTTTAAAACCCAGTAATATTTTGCCCGACCCGGGAATCGAACCCGAGACCCCTTGCCCGGCAGTCGCACTTGCGACCACTCGGCCAACGAGGCAGTCAACAAACAATAGTATACAACACATGAATTAGAATTATGCACCAAAAACTTATAATTTCGAGCAAATAATATAAATTTATTTAAGTTACTATTATTTTGACTATTCATGAATCATGTCCTAAATCTTCAACAATTGATTTCAGGCTGTGAAACCATCACCAGCAATCAAGAGCAACATAACAAATGTACTAGCGTCATACGCTTTCATCATGCGGTACTTTAACGGAGAGATAGAGCCTGGTGAGGCAACAATATGTCTGTTCAATATTTGTGATAATTTGAACAGTAACACTAACTTCGATGATCCTGCTGTTGCATTGGAGTCTGTTGCACAGAAATGTTTACAGGTACTGTTATAATAAAACTTTTTAAGAAAACTAATTATCAAAACTTAAAATACACTTGGCATTTTTATGATGTATTGCCAGTATTTTATAATAATACTGGATTTTAAAAATTCACTAAGACACTTTATGACTTTTATGATTCTCAAAAAATTACCTAAACAGTTCCTTTACCGTTCCAGCAATAACTGATAACTTCTTCTTAGGCTGTCTTACCAGTAGTCTTTGGGCCATTCATCAATTTATAATGTACATAGTTGCATTTACAATAGTTATGTCACTTATTATCATAACACATTTTTGTCTATTCCAGAGTGAATTAATACAAACAGATGAAGCAAGTATAGCAGTAATGAAAAAGGACACATTCCTTCTAATCCGAGGCCCGAGCGATGACAATGAAAAATATTATTGTCAGGCAGCACTATCTGATTTACACCACATACTCAACAGAGCCAAAACATTAGACAAACAAAAAGATCAAAAGACTCCCAAAGAAAAGACGGTCTTTTCAAAGAAGTTTCCGGAACATGAAAAGGAACATTTGCCCAGTTTAGATGTAAGTAAAGTGAAGAAATGTATCAAGAAAGTTGAGTATTACTTGTCGTATGTTGACAGTTATGATATGGATTTTGAATAAATGATGCCAATCAGTATTGAGTCAATCATTAAGTAGTTTCATTTTAACTTAATATGTAATTTACGTCCCAAACATAGAGGCACTGTCTTTACTCGGGGTCCCTGCTCAGGGGCCCCAAAGGGCGGACAATTTCTACGGCGAACATATACCCACTGCACGTTGCGCGGTAACGGTTGATCCCCGTAAGGAGCAAATCTTTGTATGGTCCACAAATTATTGTTTCGCGTCTAAGTATCATATATTGGGTACTTGCCAACTATTCAAATTCAATACTTTTTTCGAACTGTCAAAACAACTATACTCCGTCTGTTTAGGTAGTTAACTATTTGTAAACAAACCATAAAAAGAGTTCTTTATAGTTGACATTTCCATGATTCAAAATACTTCATAAGAAAATAAAATTGTTTCCGTTTTTACGACAGTTTTCTCTATTAAATGTTATGTTTCTGTTCCTGTTCACTTATTTCTTAGTAAATATTATATATATCTGCTTGAGGATATTAATTTAATAACATTTATTAAATAATATATAATTTCATTACAATAGACACCATAAAGAGCCTAAAATCCCAGGTATCCAAAACTTTTCTTTAAGAACGAAGCAAAATAATGTTGTCAAATTAAAGAGTACAACTAAGATGTAGCGCGACAATGAAAGTAGCGTGTATTACGTTTAGTCGGTTAATCAGGCGCCATTGACAGCTCTCTCGTCGTTTGCGCTCGCGTTCCTATTTTGTTGAATTTATCTTGTTTCTTTGTTTTGTTTTCGTTATTAAGTTATTCAAGTTTAGGTTATTTATCGTTTGTAATTAATGTGTTCAAATATTTTAAAGAAACTTGGCCCAAAGATACATATCCGTACAAGAAACAAATCCGTACTTCAGATTCAGAATAGTTTCTATTTAAACATGATAATGAAATAGACCCATAGGCAAGGCTCTTGTACGATTTAGGCATTTGTAGTTGTATATGTGTGTATGACAAATGAACGAGTTTAAAGTGAATTTGGTTAAAATTAAAACACGAGAAATATTTGAAGTAATAGTAGGTTAAGTATCTCTGTGTCACGTGGTTTTCTTTGTTTACCTATAGTTAATTACCTAAACAGATGGACTATAGTTTTAATAATTTTGTACGAGATTGTGTATTGTGACGTCAAGTATTTTTAGCGTCAAACAGCATATACTTATTTCTTTAAAATTGTGTGAAAGTGTGTTTTTTCAAATATTTTATTATATTGAACAGTCGAAATAATTTATTCTTGAGTAAGGAAAGTACCCAAATGCCTGAACCGATTTTGATGCAGAGTGTTTGTTATACTTAGGAGAAGGTTTTAGTTTATTTATTAACTGAATTTAAAAATTTGAGGTGTTTGAAGTCGGTCTTTTTAAACTTACTTAGTTTATAAAATAATTATTAGGGATAAAGATTCATATTGCCTTCCAAAAGTGCTGATTATCCCACTTAAGTAGAGGAAGTAAATAGTCTTAAGTCCAGCAGTTGACAGTCCTTTGATGATGATTATACAGTAAAAGCATGACCAACAGCAACATCCCTACATACATAATACATATAGGTAAAAAGGTTAAAAAAGGAAGTTTATAATAAAATATATCTTTTACTATTTTTATTTTACCCATTAACAATATCAATACAGTTTCGACATTGTCCGATACAATGCAAAGCTGAAACTGGACATGTAGTTTCCTTGGAAAACGTAACACTAGTACTACCTATGTAAATATGGTACTTATTTTAGATTATTGGGTGATAAAATAAAACACGTTAAACACCTTAACCAGATATATTCGTTGAAACATGAATAATCCAGGGAATGTCAGAATGTACCATCAACAATAATATATAATATTATATACACAATGCTCCAATACAACACTTAGTAACATACTAACTTCTTTTAAAAATATATCGCTTTGTTACGTAAGCAAGGATTTGAAAAGACAGAGACGAAATTATAGACAGGAAAGAGATGGTGATAATCAAATAACACAATACTATAGTAGAAAACAATAAAAGAGTAAATAAGGTCGTTAGTTCTAACATTGATAAAGACAAAACTCCATCGCTATGAATTTCTTTAATAGATTTTCTACCTTATACTTTAGTAATAAAGTTGAAAACATAAAATTCTGGGACTTCCAACCCAGTACGAAGCTTTTCCTTTTGAAGATTTGAAAACAAATTATAGTATCCTTGCCTACACAACACATAAATAACATTGAAATCTAAACTAGAAATTGGCCTAGTTGTTATATTACGACTTATTATTTGTATGTAGTAATTTGACATGATAAGTATCATCTGAGAAAGAACCGACTAGAAAGAAACGACTTGAAGAGAAGCGCATGAAGACATTTACAATAAAATAAAGCTGAAAAGTTATGTGTATAACTGATCCAAGGACTGTACCTT